GGTCCAAATTTGCAAGTAAGCGTTAGTTTGTTCTTTTTTTGTGTTTGGCCGAATTTCAACTTGGATTTATGACATGTTTTGTTGTTGAATTGGTTGGATTTGGATCACAATACTACTCAACTCAACTTTTTTCAAAAGACTATGATAAAAACTCCCAAAATAGTGAACCAAACGGAGTTTAATTTAAGGAAAATTATTCCCATTGGAAAACAGAATTTAGTTTACATATCCTACTGGGCTAAGGTGGTGTTTGTTTTTTCATCTGAAAGTTTAACGAACTTGATCGTTGAATATGTCTGAATGTACAAGTTTGAGCAATATGTTTGATTTTTCTTTTTCATTGTTTGATTACAAGGGTTAGATTGTTTGTTTTTATTAGTGTATTGACATATATGTCTTTGTGAAATTAATTTTATATTTTGACATACATTATAACTATATTATTACACATTATGAAAATTAAAATTAAATAAAGATATAAAAATTAATAATAACTCTGTTATTACATTGTGTTTATACAGTAAGTGAAAATTTATTATAACAAAAAAAATTAAAAACTACATTAATTAAATCACTGAAAGAGTTAATTTTCAATTTGGTCTTGCAATTGTTGGATGACCATTTGATCAATTGTCCCAAGAGAGTTGATTGCATTTGATGGTTGATTTTGATTTCTACGGCTATGATAAATAAAGAAGACAAAAATATATAATGTAAAGGTTTTGATAAAAATGAAATTATATAAATTCAACAGGGATATAATTGACAAATTAAGATGTTATTAATTTAGATATTCTAGAATCTAGTATTCGGATAAAAGCCAAGTTTTTTTACTTTTTGATTTTATCTGATTGGGTGCATTTGGTTTAGGGAATGTTTTATTATAAGGATGTTATATTAATGGAAATATAGATTTCCTTGAAAATCACTGGGAAATGTGTTTGGTTTGTTAGAATAAATTGGTGAATATATTATATTAATATGTTTGATTGGGACGATAAATGGGCGAGTATGTTATATAGATTACTAAATTGCCCTCATTTTTAAATATTATTTTTATCATTATTTTTTGAATCATTTTTTTAACCCCTACATTTGAAATTTTGCCAAAGCACCCTAACCATATAATACTTTAATTTGTAGCAAAATCACCCCTACTTACCCCAAACCACCACCATTGGCAGTTGCCGTAATGGCGCACGACTAGCGGGATTTGGCCAGTCGTGCGCTGGTAAGGCTATTTCCGACCATGGATTTGGCTGTTTTTCGCATAGATCTGGTCGTGAAAAGGTCGTAGAAACAGCTAGATATAACCTGTTTTAGGCCATGCATCTGTGATCCATGGCCATCAACGGCCTTGCCGACACATGATTGACCAGATCCCGCCGATTGTGCGCCATTACAGCGACTGTCGCCAATGGCCGACAATGATCTACAGATCCATGGCCATCAATGGCCCTATCGGCACATGACTGACCAGACCCTGAAAGTCGTACGCCATTACGACAATTGTCGCCAGTGGTCTTGGGTGGTTGTGGGTATTTTGTTAACTTTCAAACTTTTTGTGGCTGTGGTGTTTTAGCCAATTTCTCAAATGTAGGGGGGCTAGGCTAATGGTTATTTGGTAGACATTTGACGGCAATTGTGTCCAAATTGGTATTTAATTAAGGGCAAAATAGGTATAAAAATCATATTACCTCGATAATCTTTTAATAACACCTCCTAGACAGGGTATTTGATTACCCCCTACATTACTGTAAACAGTAAAATCTACTTTCAATTCGAAAGGGACAGATCCTATGAGAATAGAGCCACTTAAAACCTAATGTATCTGAACAAAGAAGAAAAAAGAACGTGAATGCTAGATAACCACTAGTGTGGTGTCTACCGTAGACACTCTGATACTCAAATTAGTGAGGTTGGAGGTATTTAGTGAGGGCTGAGGACAAGAAAGATTACCAGAATAATGCGATTGTTCTTGAGAGCAAAAACTTTGAGAGCAAGGTGCTACGGGTCATTTCTAAATGACCCTTTGAGAGGGTTTGCCCCTGTTTATATATTGAACCCTAGGGATTAGAATCCTAGTAGGACTCTAAGTCCTACTTAGTTGATGAGTTCTAATTAGGAAGAGAATATAATATCTTGCCTTTATTAGATTAGGCTTTAGACTTTCAGTCTGGGATCTTGACAGAAGTGGAAATAGAATAGGATTCTGATTCCTAATATGGACTGTTGTGGGTTGATGGCTAGAGCCCTATTTAGCTTTACTTGTTGGATAACCCAACTCGTAGAGTGGGCATTTTACAAGGTGAATTCAAGCGTAGGCCCAATCGGGATTGGCTTGGCTGTGGTATGTTTATTTTGTTGGATCTTGTCAGGCCCAACATGATTTTTGGCCCATACAATTACCAAAAGTAAACACTATTTGCAATAAAAGATACCCATAACATTTTATTACTTGCTAATCAAACAACGGAATCTTGCAAAATAAATGAAAATTACCCTGAACCAAATGCACCCATAACATATTTAATTAAATTTTTATAATATCAGCCTTATTTAGTTATAACCTAAGTATAGAATTTATCTTGTTTTTTGTTTGAATATTGGATTCAAAATTTAGAAATTATAGAAATTGATTAGGGTATAATTGCAATTTTTTACAACTTTATGGATTTTTTTTTTTTTAATTTCAAATAAGGCATTGGCCCACCTTGGGCTAGTGTTGGCCCTGTCACTAACAATCTTGGAAAGTTCGCACCTCTGTTAATAGCTCTACCCCACAATTGACAAAGGAAAATGATAGAGTTACCAAAAAGTTTACACCGAATTTGTGCACCGAATGACGTGGCAAAATCCTTACCGTTGATTAATATTAACTGATAATAAATCAACGGTTAGGATTTAGCCACGTCATTCGGTGCACAAATTAGGTGCACACCCATCGGTAACTGTAGCATTACTCATTGACAAATGCATTGGTCACTTTCCTTTATATTTTTCCCCTCGTAGAGAGTTTTCCACCCACAAATTCTTGTTCCATTTGTACTGAACTTGACAACCTTTCCTGGCTATTTTCACTTGAGTTTGTCTCGGATGTCTTCTTACACTTTATCTCAATTAAATGGATTTTATATTATGTATTAACTGTTTTTTGTATGCAAGATTGTTAATTTATAAGTTCATCGTTCTTAAATATTAAAGTATTATTTGTTGTGATGTTCATTAGTTGTATATGTAACTCAAATGTTCTTTATTTTTATACAGATAACCCCTAGAAAAAAGAAGGCATCTAAGGGGAAGAATGTGGTGGTTGAAGACAGTTTTGAAACCAAGGCACTTGAGGATTGGCTTGACTCATAGGAGGCTTTAGGTATGATTGATGCATCGTGACCTAATGTGTTACCTTTTATAAGAAAAGTTGTGAATCCTAAAAATTTGAAAACAATAGCTCTTTTGTAATCATTGAGTTATGCAAATTAACAAAAACTTTACATGCAGGGAGTAAACCACAGAGAAGATTGTGGAGAAACAGGGGAAGATTCAAGTTGAATTAGATATAGTGACAGGTAAGCCAATTAGATCGTGTGCATAAAATTTCTCTATAGAATTTAGTAATATGGTGAGATTGCTGCTCCACACGGGTTTACGAGGTAGACACAAATCAAATGGCCATAGAGGTTTTATATCATTCAAATGTTGTTGGTAAGTAAATATGTGCTTTGTATACAAGAAACAACAAAAAAAATGTTTCAATAGCGTTATGACATGGAATATGTTGGTCTATAAATAATGTTGAGTTAAAGACATGGAAAGGTGCAGTTTTGGCCATAAGTTGTGTGAAGTCGTTTTGGGAGTTGTTGAAGTGAATCCTGGTCATTGATTAATTTCAGATCCATTGGCTGAAAAACAACTCTTGGCCAATGGTATATAAAAGAGAAAATAGTGTAAAATCTATAGGTGTTCTTCGTGTTTGATAGAGCAAATATGTTTATGTTTTTCTTTTACAATCAATCTGTGTAACCTAGTGTGAGTGAGTGATTAGAGAGTTAGTCATTCAAGTGAGAGGGGTTTTGCTCTCAAGATCTTAGAGATTCAAGGGAGAGTTCTCTAGGTTAGGTTACGAGAGAGATTTGATTGTTTGTGAGTGTGAGATCTTTGGATCTTTGTTGTAAACTCTTGATTCTAATTGATTAGTGCAACGAGCTCCTCTGATTCCGGAGCTCAACGTAGACGTAGCCTACCCAATCTTGGATAGGTGAACCACGATTAATCTGTGTGTATTGTTGTGGTTTGTTATTGTGTGATTTTTGTCTTGATTGTGTGTTAAAGATTAGGAAGATTTCATAACAGTGGTATCAGAGCATTGGAGATAGGATCTTATTTGATTTCTAAATTTGTTAGTTTAGGGAAACCTAGGGTTTGTGAACAATTTGGGGCTTTTGTGTCTAGGCGTCTCCTTAGCACTCCAGGGTTCCCAAATCGTAAAATCGAAGGTGAAATTCGTTGATTTGATTTGTTCTTGGAAGTCTAGGGNTTGATTCTAATTGATTAGTGCAACGAGCTCCTCCGATTCCGGAGCTCAACGTAGACGTAGCCTACCCAATCTTAGATAGGTGAACCACGATTAATCTGTGTGTATTGTTGTGGTTTGTTATTGTGTGATTTTTGTCTTGATTGTGTGTTAAAGATTAGGAAGATTTCATAACAGTGGTATCAGAGCATTAGAGATAGGATCTTATTTGATTTCTAAATTTGTTAGTTTAGGGAAACCTAGGGTTTGTGAACAATTTGGGGCTTTTGTGTCTAGGCGTCTCCTTAGCACTCCAAGGTTCCCAAATCGTAAAATCGAAGGTGAAATTCGTTGATTTGATCTGTTCTTGGAAGTCTAGGGTTTCATTGGGGATATTGAGTCAAAAATCATAATTAAACCTTTAGGGTCTAATTAGAGTGAATCTTGAAGTTTCTTTAATACACACACAATGTCTACAACTACTAGAATGGAGATTACCCAATATGATGGGAAAATCGACTTCAGTAGTTGGAAGAAAAAGATGAAGGCACTACTCTCCCACAAGAAGGTGGCTTTGGCTCTAGAGAAGAACATCGAGAAGTGGCCTAAGGATAAGCTGAAGAAAAAGTCAGAAATCGATGAAGAGGCGTACAACCTAATCATCATGAACTTGGCGGACAATGTCCTACGGAAGGTAGATGGCCTTGAGACTCCCTTAGTCTTGTGGGGTAAACTCGAATCACTTTACACTTTACAACCTGCACCTAATCTTGCATTTTTAAAAGGTGAACTGTTTTCATATAAGATGGATAGTTCTAAGTCTATAGAAGACAACCTAGATTAGTTTCTAAAACTGACCTTAATACTTAAGGGGATTGATCAGGAACTAGGAGATATCAGCCTTGCCATGATTTTACTAAATTCTATAACTGATGATTATTTGGTTGTAAAGAATGCACTACAATACTCAGGGACTGTACCAAGTATAGATTTAATCGTAGCAAGCTTAAAAGCTAGGGAACTTGAACTAAAAACCCAAAGAAGGAATGGAAGCAATCTATTTGTAAAGAGTAAATGTGAAACTAGTCAATCTAGCAAAGGAAATGTAATAGCCACTTTCTACTCAAATACTCATAATAAAATACATATAAAGAAATTGGGCCCAAAATTTTCTTTTTATTAAATATACATATATTCTTTACAAACCTATATATTTTTACACAAAATTATAATGTGTACAAAAGTCAACAAAAACATATTAGACAGTGTAACCGCTTCTCCTCGAGCGCCGACGTCCATCCGACCGTGTCCTCACCTAGATCCTGCAAAACATAGGAAAACAACGGGGTGAGCACTAAAATAATGCTCAGTAAGTAAATCCTCTACTCATCTATCCCCGTAACTCTCTCTCTCTAATTCTTTCCTTACNCGTAGCCTACCCAATCTTGGATAGGTGAACCGCGGTAAATCTGTGTGTATTGTTGTGGTTTGTTGTTGTGTGATTTGTATCTTGATTGTGTGTTAAAGATTAGGAAGATTTCATAACAACTAAGGATAACATATTAATTTGCCTATACTCTTATTATATAGTTCACTAAATACCAATTAGTGTTTCATTAAAGTTATATTCACAGGTGTATATATCTTATATTACGATGAAAATGATTTAATTTCGAAATAAAGTAAGAAAAACTAAGAAGTTAAATTATATCATTACTATAAATTTAATTAGTTCAGAATCTTATAGGATGACTATTGCAAATTAACTCATCTTATTAGTTGGCTTTTAAAGGGATTTGATTTTGTGATGATGCCCTTATTAATTTCATCTCTATAGATTACTCACTTGGGCCATACATGAATATAAGAGTATGTCTCTTTTTGTGCAATATTGCATAAATTAAGGGCATATATTAACCAATTTTTAAGAGGAAATGTATATGTTGATGTAACAAAATAGTGAATTAACATTGATATCTTTTGCAAAGTTGCTTTAAATTTGACATCAACTACCAGTGGACTGTATGTTGCATTGCCAAAGTTTGTTGGGATTTATCACTATTATCATGGGAATTGCATCAAATTGCTCATACAAGAAAAAGAAGGAGGCATGAAAAAACCCAACTGAGAAAGTTTTAGATGGTAACTGAGACTTCCTATGCAATAATTGGGAAGGTCAAAGATACTTTGTTAAAAGTACGATTGCGAAAAAAACCCGAAAACCAAACCGAACCTAAAAATCGGATTGAAACCGGTTCAAAATACTTGTTTTCTAGAGTAATCTGTTCGGTTTCGGTTTTCAAAATAAACCAAATCGGAAAACTGGTTCGGTTAACGGTTTAAGGGTAATTTCAAACCAGTTAACCGAAACCGATTTTGCCTTGAAAAAATCCTAAGGGCCTGCTTGGGAGTTTTATGGTAGTAGTTTTGAGGGTAAACCACCGTAACGGTTTTGAGAGGTTTTTAGTAGCGGTTTTTAAAACACCCAACATATGTTTGGGAGTTTATTTTCCAGCGGTACTGACAGTTTTTTAAAATGATAAATTTACATATATGCCCATAAAAATACCCGAACTTCAACCAGTATTTGGGAGTTTTTTTTTTCAATTACCAATACTTAATATCAAAGTTCCTTCCAAGTTTAATTTATTTGTAAGTTCTTTCATTGTAGATTATTTAATTCATCACACAATCATTGGAAAACTATCATTTTAAGAGAATAAATATGCTACTATAGTGTTGGACTTCGCAAATTATCAATATAACAGCCGCAAAGCATTTCTAAAAAACAGTTTTTTGTTCTTTTCTTCAGTAAGTGAAGCAAAGCCATAAAAAACAATCTTTATTTAACAAACTGACAATGATTCAATCAATCACCTAAGTGCAAATAAAAATAATCAAATAGAGGAAAAACCACCTAATTTTGTAAAACAACTAGTAAAGAAATGCAATTAAATTGTATAGGAGTTTACCAAATTAAAAGAACAAAAAGTTAAAGGGGAAAATGAAGAAAAAAGAAAGAAAAACCTTCATATCTCTAATGAAGGATGCCTAAGATAAAAGATTCAAAAACATTGTAACAATCATCTAAAAGTTGAAGATTGAATGAGGTTTGAAGAAATTTTTAAACTAGCAAAGAGATTATTGTATATGAATAATAGTGGAGAGGGGTTTTTTTGGGATAAAATTTTTAAATCAGCCAAAACACCTCGATTTAGGATATTTTATAAACCCTTCAAAAATACACTACACTAATTTTAGGGGATTTTTAAACCAATCAAAACCAACCCATAAAAAAATCTAACAAATAATAATTTTTAAATACTTCAAAATTAATCTAATTAAAAACCCTCTAAAACCAACGAAAAAAAAAAAAAACTCCAAAAGCGGACCCTAAATCTAAAACCCAGTTGCATATCTCCCATTCTCTCTTTTATTTGTTTCTTTTTCTTTTTCTTTTTATATTTGGTTGATTGAATCCTATAACCCAAATCTATGGCAAAACATCTCCTTCTCTTCCCTTTTCTTTTCCTTCCTTTCTATTTCTCTTTCTTTCCTTCTTTTTCTCTTTTCTTTTCCCTTCTCATTTTCTTTTCTTTTCTTTGCCATCTCCATGGTGGCCTACTGGCTGAAATTGTTCAAATACAATGATGGCTATAATCACCCCTTCAGATCCCACCATAATTTACTAAGTCAAAATTGTTGAGAAGATGAGTTGAGAAAGAAAGAGGGAAAAGAGAGAGGAAACAAAGAACAGAAAGAAGGGAGAGAGAGAGAGGGATAAGGGAAAAGAAAAGATGGCAGCCTCTCTTTCTTCCTGCACATTTTTTCTTCTCTGGATTTGTGATTATGGATTTATTTATTTATTTATTTTTTTAGATTTTCGGTAGCTAGAGGATTTAAGAATTTTTTTTTTCTTTTTTTAAGAAACGGGTATTTTGGGTTTGTTGGATGCTGTGTTGTATGGGTTTGTGATAAAAAAAAAAATTGTACATGAATTTTAGTTGTTAAATTTCACTAGAGATCCAAAAATTTCAGTGGTTTTGTTGGATGAAATTAATAAAGAAAACTAGAAAGCTGCAGATTGTGTTTTTAAATTAAAATTTTTTATTTAAAAATAGGTTCATGAACCGATTAATCGGTAACCGAACCTCTAATTCGGTTTGGTTAGTAACCGGTTCAAGAGAAAATCTGATCGATCACCCCTTTGAACAGAAAAATCAATTTGGTTCAAAGGACAATCCCGTTTGGTTAATCGGATTTCTACACCCCTAGTTAAAACCCTAAACTATGGTTGATAAGCAGATGAGATTATCATTTGAAAATTTTATGAGTGATGATCTGTTTACACTGAAATTAGGCCAAGTGTGATCGGAATAAACAGAATAGAGAAGGACTGAAGCATAACCACGTGGGGCTTCAAAGCCCTTTCAGAATAATATGACTGAATTTATTGGGGTAGGAAATGTAAACCCATACAATGTTGTGTTTTGTGACATCGTGGTTAATTATCGTTTCAAATTTGCTTTATTTATCTTTCATCTTCTCAATGTTGAATTAAGGTAGTGGGGGACTTGGAATTAGACCCTTAGAACAGTGGAACATAGCCCTTATGGCTTATCATGTTTGTAGTATTCTCTCAGGAAGAGATTCCTTGTGGGTGAAATGGATTCACACTTACCGTCTCAAGGGCCGTAGTTTTTGGAGCGTGAAAATTCCATGGGACTCGAGTTGGAGCTGGCGTAAACTTCTTAGAATGAGGGAGATGCTAAGAAAACATTTTGTGGTCAAGCTAGGAGATGGACGCTCCACTTTTCTATGGTATGACTCTTGGCACCCATTGGGAGCTCTAGATGAAATCGTTCCTACTAATTTCTTTTATGATTCAGAATTAGACCAACAAGCTAGAGTTAGTGATGTGCTTGTTAATGGCCAATGGACATGGCCCGACTGCCCTCGAGAGGCTTACCTCCAGATTATCTCTCAAGGCTCTCCTGCCTCCAGTAACCCTCCCCATGATGTAGTCATGTGGAGATCCTCAGATGGTAAACTTTTGAACTACTCTTCACGCCATTCTTGGCATGACTTAGGCCCGACTGGTAACATGGCTCCTTGGAGTTCCATTGTTTGGACCGGAACCTGTATCCCGAAACATTCCTTCATCCTGTGGTTAGCCATTAAAGGCAAACTCGTTACCCAAGACAGGATGCAGGCCTGGACTAGATCCGAAGATTTAAGATGTGCCTTCTATGATGGTTAGGCTGACTCACATGACCACCTTTTCTTTAGCTGCCCATTCACAAATTTGATATGGAGGTTTGTTCAGGAGAAGGGAAAATTCAAGACTTTGATAGTTGGCTGGAATAACATCGTGTCCTTTTGCTCTGAAATATTTAAGGGAAAATCAATCTGGACTGTCATTCGACGATTATTGCTTGGAGTAGCAGTTTATTTTCTTTGGCTGGAGAGGAAATTTCAGCTGTTTAAAGGCAAAAGAAGAAGTAGAGAATGCATTCAGCTTGAGATTTTGAATGAAGTTCGTATGAGGTTGCATAGTCTTACCTTTAGAGACACGGCAAGAGTTAGAGAAGTGGTCAAGATCTGGAGCATCCCCCAGACTTGTATTCGTGAATGACAGGAATCTTTTTGTTAAATTTATGATGACTCTTAATAGTGGTGTCCTTAATTTCCTTTGCCGCATAATTTCACAATGTATCATCACTTCTATTGAGCAATGCGGCGTTATGAAAAGTTGGATGTTGGGTTTTTGGATCAGGTGGATATTGTTTATGAAGTCCTTCCAAAAGATTCAGCATCTCGTAATGCTCTACGCTAATGAAGTAGGAAGCTTAAAATGGAGAATGATGGACACGTTGGATGGACTTTGTAATTTACATGTGTCCTCTTCTGTAGATAAAATTTTAACCATATTGCAAGGAAGTCTAACTAACAATCCTCCCAATCTCAAGAAGGTTTGGTGATGGTTTCTCTGGGTTCAGTGTGCTTCAGACTGCACCTCCATTCCCATTCTGAATGACTGGGTGTTGTGCTCCTTCTTAGGATGTCCTGGGCATTCCTTTGGTGGTTGTAAGATGCTCCTCTGGTGCTGGTATACTACTTTTTTTGTACAGCCAGGAAACACATTTTTTGTATTATCTGTACATATCTCTTGGGGCTGTCCAAGGGCAAAGGCCTGTTTTTTTGTTCTAGGCCTGGGCTGTTTAGGTTTCTAGCCTGGCGTTGCTGGGTTTTTTCTTTGTTGAGCTCTTGGGGATGTCCAAGTTGCTCGCTTAGTTTGATAGGGTCCTTTTTCTCCCAGTTGTTTCTTTGATTCTTTCTTTTATAAAATTTCCAGTTTTATCAAAAAAAAAAAAAAAACAAAAAACAAAAAACAAAAAACAAAAAAAGTGGGAGAGGAAGTTGTGTAATAATAGAAGGGGTGTTAGGTAATAACACCAAAAGTTAGGGGAAGTTATGAAATTAATCTTTAACATTGCATTAATCATCTTCTCAAAAAATAAAAATCAGAAAAGAAACCTTATCCTTTGATCGAATCCTTGGCGCCATTTCCTTTGCCAACAGATAACAGAAAACGACCAACAAATTTACAGTTAACCATGCTTCTTTCGGCACCCGATTCTTGCTTCTTCTCTTCTTCTATGCTCTTTTCCATTGCCCGCCTGAAACCCACCACCACTAGAGGGTTGCGGCTCAACTCACTGAGTCGAAACCGAGTGTGTAAAGCCAGTCTCATAACTAGCGCCGACTCTTTCGAGGTTGGCCGACTCATCGGTAGCTATGGCTTCATGAACGTCACAAGGTTTGTTTTATTTTGTTAGTGGATTTTGTTTTATGGGTTGATTTTAATTTGATATATGATATATGTTATTATATATTTCAGCTATTCGGGGTTTCAAGATGTTGAATATTCGTCTGGAGATTTGGGGCGATTGAGAGTTCAAGATGTTGGTGAGGGTAGTGTTAAGATCAGGTGCATTTACTTTTTCTTCTTCTTCTTCTTCTTCTTCTTCTTTTGTGATTATCTGTTAGGGGGTGATTTTATTGATATGCTTAGTTTTGTTTTGGTAAAATAATCCCTTACAAAATAGTGTTGCACAAACAAACTTGTACAGATTAATGTGGCATGATATGATTGGAGGATTAAAAACTAAAGATAAATGCTAGCCTTACAAAGATGCATACAAAGCGGGNTGCATTTACTTTTTCTTCTTCTTCTTCTTCTTCTTTTGTGAGTATCTGTTAGGGGGTGATTTTATTGATATGCTTAGTTTTGTTTTGGTAAAATAATCCCTTACAAAATAGTGTTGCACAAACAAACTTGTACAGATTAATGTGGCATGATATGATTGGAGGATTAAAAACTAAAGATAAATGCTAGCCTTACAAAGATGCATACAAAGCGGGGCATACAAAGACAAATCCTACCCTTAATCTTCATGATTGTCTTTCGATCTTTCTCTTTTTCCCTTCTTTCAAGGGTAGGATTTATCTTTGTATGCATCTTTGTAAGGTAGCATTCCTCAAAACTAAAAATAGATTAAAAAAATTAAAGTTGATACGGTAATCGTGCACTCGAGTTACATCAGTTTCTATGAATTAATTTATATGAGGAGTTTGTGATACTCCTCCAAGTTTTAAGCTTTTAAATTGTTATTTAGCATAGTATTGGAGCAAAATTGGAGGTTCTGAATCTGTGTTTGAATTCCCCTCGTGTTAAGCTTATGAAGCTGTGGAAGAGGGATCTAACTAATAGTGGAGACTTATGATGATTTTAGGGATTTTTAAGAGTTTTTCCAACGAATTTTGGAACTGATGAGATTTACCTGGATTAATGACTTTAAGGATATTATCCTTCTTGTCACTGATACTGTCCTTGGCAGCTTGTTTGCAGGCTTTATGAAGGAAGAATAGCTCAAGGTCCACGAAGAGGGACTCCAGTCATATTTAAGGTGCTTTTATGTGCTTATTTATTTGCATAAATCATTTGATTGGAATAAGAATTTTTAAGAAAGCTTGTTAATTAACTTGTTTCTTGTGCAAGAAGCTTTTACCAACTTTCAATTTGTTGGCATTATGTTATAAGCTTGTATTTGAATTTTTAAAGCTAGTGATACAAAATATTCTGGTTACAATGTCAATTCTTTTAGAGCCCTATTTTTCATGAAATATAACATTGTTAGCCATGAAGGTTTATCCTGGACAAAGAGCTGGTGGAATTGAAGCTGATATGATGGCTGCAAATGAACTCAATGCTCATGCTTTCCTCCAGGTAAAATCAAATGAGTATATTCCTTTAACTTTTAGAAACTTTCTAGTTTAAGGGGCTGAGGCATTACATTGATTGATCCAATTAATTTGCCAATGAAATATGGATCTAATAGCAACTCTTCTTCCTGTAGATATGGAGTATAGCATTAGATCATGGAATAGTTTTAAACAATCCAAAAAAAAAAAAAAAGACATTGATCTCTTTGATGCGCCTGTTTTGCAGAGCAGTTCGAAAGGATTTATTCAGAATCTTGTGATACTTCTTGGTGGATTTGAGACTAAAACTGGAGAGCAGGTCTGTCAATATCATCTGTCAACTGTTTAACGGTAGAGTGTCTTGGCTCTTCTTTGATCACTGTAAATTAAATGAGTTTTTCTATACAGTGGCTTGCTTTTCGTAATGATGGGAAGTATAGTGCAGCAGACTATGCAAAACTAACGAGTGAAAAAATATCAAAAACCAGTTCTGCAAGCAAAGAATCTTGGAATCGATTTGAACAAGAGCAAACAATTAAACGTCGAAGAAATTTTGTTGTTAAATTATTTCAGGGTGCTATGAATGGTTTAGCCTACATGCATGACCATGGTAGATTACACCAGAGTCTTGGACCAGCTTCTGTTGTTCTCAAGTATGTTGCTGGAACATTTCTTTTGACTCAGATATTCTTTCTTTTCTTTTCCTAAGTATAACTTTTGGAATATATTCTTCATTTTATATGATTTTTTTAATGCAAAACTTGATTAATGGCAGTACAATTGCGGAGAGGGAGGCTGCTTACTTAGTTCCACGACTTCGGGATCTAGCCTTTTCTGTGGATATTAGGTACTGTTAGTTTTCTTTTCTTCTTGATGTGTTTGATTTAGGTGCCCTTTGTTGAACGTAAATTAAAAAAAAAAAGTCTGTGTGTATCACTTGCAAAACTGGGTGAAGTTGATGGTCTATATTCTTTTTGTTGTAAGGACTTTCAGTATTTGGCCACATCCCAAAAATAACCATCATATGGATTCAATCAATCCCTCTGATCCAGTGTTCTAATTCTTTAAAGTATGTGGTTATTTTGGAATTATCAATGACTCTTTTTACCTTAATTTTTTAGATAGAGAGGTGACGATCTAAAGAAAGTGAATAAAAATGTGCAATAGACAAATGGGGTGTCTCTTTTCCAATTTTATTTGGAAGTTTCAACTAAGAAGTTAGCTACTCAACTCCCCATATTGTTTTCATACTACCTGTTATTATATCCTTCAATTTCCCGACCATGTTTAGAACTTAAATTGTAGTCCCCAATTTTGAGACTAGTGAATATATTAGAACGGTTGCAGTAGTTTGGGTTCTGGAAAGAGAGATTTTATTATCATCTTTCTTTTCTTATAAATCCTTTCACAGAGCAATGAGCACCATTAATAGAAGACTAATAAAAAATTCATCATCCTCTCAAAGAATGATTGTCTGTTGCTGTTTATTTAAGAAAGAACAGGCTCCTAATTTTGTAAAAAAAAAAATTGTGTAATTATCCTTAATGTCACCTAAATCATACCACAATGTGAATATAAAGAAAAATTTAGATCTATGACAAGTTCTCTAGCCTTCATATATATTGACATAATAAAAAGCCACACTATCACAAAATATGTTAACTATGTACTGAATGTTAAATTTGAAGAAGATAAATACTTAAATTCATGAAAATTAGGGCATGGGAAGACTAACAGTGTGAAAGATATTAGTATTCCTGCTGTCTCTTAGCTTGTAGAGAATCAGGGAATGTTAATTTGAGTTCCTTTTCAGGCATCAGAATTGTCTGCCATTACTAGGAATATTATTTTCTTTTCAAAACAATGTTGCATAATAGTGATTAAAGATGTAGCAGGTTTGATAACCCTGCAAATAATATTAAATTCAATGACATGGCTTATCAGGATTGAAAATTTAGAAGAAGGTCCCGGAACATTCTCGGAAGGACTATGGAGAAGAGCAGTTTCTGCTGGTGCCTATACACCTATTGAGAAAAGGACCTTTGGCATTGCTGATGACATGTAACTAGTTAAATTTTGATTTTGTATCATTAGCTGGGTCTGTTTGGTTTCTATTTTATTAACAAATCTTTTTGTCCCCACCAGATATGAAGCAGGACTTCTTTTGGCATACTTAGCTTTTGTTACATTTTGTGAAGCAAACATTATGGATAGTCTTTCTTTGCAAGTAAGCTTCACACTACACCTATCTTTTATTTTAGTTTTTTCATTTTCCCTCATTCTTATATACTACAAAATTTCTAAACTGTTATTTTCTTTTATATGATATAAGAAAATCCAAGCAAAAGAAAATGCCGAAAGAAAAGATGATATAAAAATTTTATCCATGAACTTGCAGAGGCTCTTGGAAAGCACCTTTAAACTTGATCTTCAAGCTACAAGAGAGTAAGATGCTCCTTATATTTACAAATCATTATGCTTATCATGAGTACATATTGTTCCAGTAGTCAGTTTATAAATGATGAATACAAGTTTGTCGTAGCACTAACACTTTGCAAATGGGATCAAGACTTCATTTGTTGAGATAACTTCTTTCAATTTCTTTTTTATTTTCTAGGAAGATAACTTTTTCATCTATGGCATTATGCTTTGTTCTGTATATTTAAGAAGTTTAAGGCTCTATGTATGATGTTGTTGAGTTGAGTCCATCAAATTATTTTTTATTCTATTGACTATTGCAACAACACTCAAATTTTAGCTGAAAACTTTATGTTTTCTGTATAGACTATAAAATCTATGTGCTCCATTTTTGGTCCTTCCCAGCTCAAACATGCTATTCGTTTGCCCTTGGCTCTGCTGCCAGTCCCTGCAAAAATTCACCAAATGATTTATTATTTTACTTAAACTAGTTGAACTCTCAAATGCAGTGTATACAACTTTAACGTGGTTAGTGAACAATTAATTTTATATGATATGTACATATACATATAAATTAAGTTCGATGACTACAATATATTAATAAATCATATTAAAAAGGTTGAAGTAACGATCATGAATCTTCTATATGTGGAAAATTAATTTATTTATCTTCATATGTATGTGTTTCTAATATTAGTAATATAGTTAGAGAGGATGATCCATTTTTGCTCAGTAATTAGAGCTTGGAAAAATTTTGAAACCAGATTTTATAGGTTCAATACCCAAACATAACCTCCATGGGCAGACGTCTTCATTCCGCTTTGGTATAAGTGTCAATGTTGGGTTACTTTACATGTGGACCTGATTAACTTCAAACTTCTTCTTATCCATTTACTAATCTTTAACATAATACCATAAATCATAGGTTACCTCTGTAATATATATGTTTTTTTTCCACAACTGTACTTGTATTTAAACACCTTTGAGACATTATTCTGAATTTTAGTACTTCTTCTTGCATATTAGGCTACCATGGCGATCCTACTGATCCCAATTGTTGCACAGTTACTTGAGCTTGCTCTAAGGCTCCTTGTTTAATCTTATGAGTTCTGGTTGTATGCTGATACTTTGTTGGGCTCTTATTTTTCTTCTAAATTGAGCAGGTATTGTTTAGCAGATGACCGCTTGTTAGAAGCTGTCAAGTTTTTGGATCTCGGTGATGGTGCTGGTTGGGAGTTACTTCAGGTTGAATTTTTGTTTGGAGCTTATGGGATGAGTGCAATTTTCTTCCCTATAATTTCATCTTAATCTATCAGTCTATTTATCTCTATCTATAAATAAATATTGGAAGAAAATCACAGAAAAAATGTATATCTACTATCTTGATCCCAAACTTGGCCTAACATCCTGCTATTTCTTTATCCTGTTTGAACTTTTAATGACTAGAATGCTTAAATAAACTTGGTTGTCTTAACCTGAGTCGTTCTACTGGCTATGAGAGAATATCGAAACTGCACTTCCTTTTTGATTATCCAGAGTGACCATATCAGATTACTTTATTTTCATACGGGATTTATGTTTGATGGAAACCTTTCGTATGGGATCTGTCGAAATCTTCCTCTATATTTTAGTTCTTGAGTGGCAAGATGAATTATTACCCTATTGGTGATTATTCTGGTAGTATTTCTGAAATCTGGTTATCCTTGTAGCTAATAAGTACTCTCCATCTCCATTTTCTGATATTCAAAAACCTAAAAGCTTGTGTTCCAACTTTGGTGTCTCCAATGTGTCAAGTTTCTTAATTATCCATTAATTCATGTTTTAGTGGACTCAATTTGTAGCCATCTCGTTGCTACTAACTTGATCACAGGTCTTCTGGTATTGTTAAAATCTAATTTTTCTTTATCTTTGTGTGACTTGTATTATTATTATTTCTACTGCAGGCAATGCTGAATCCTGACTTCCGAAAACGACCGATTGCAGAAGCAGTAATCAATCATCGATTTATAACTAATTCTGTTATTTGAGATTCCAAGGACTGAGGACATATTATAGTCTGTGAATAGAAAATTTTGGAGTTGGAGTTAGCAAGTAGCATGTTATGTGAAATAGCTGACAGTACGAAAAGACCTTAGAATCATATTGATGGCATAATCTACCTTCTTTCTATTGCTTAATTGTCCCACTTAATAAATTACAAAGGAAAACTAATGAATGAAGTTATCGATCTTCACATTAAATTATTTCATATGGTGAAACTAAACTTGTGGAGTTTGGATGAATCGACTCGCAGATATTGAATCTCAGACCTTGACCTCTTGACTCTCTTGGTTATCTTTTACTTTGTTGCAATAGTGGGCTATTGTTTATATTACGGTTGCTTTGTAAAGAGTATTAAATCTATGTAAGTAGGGGTGTTGCAGGATTAAAAAAAGGGGAGGGGATGGGGGGATTGGCGGACCTGAGAGATTTGGTTTGGGTTTTAAGATATTAAAATACAAAATCGACCTTAATAAAATTCCTAAATGATATGTAATATTTAGGAATTTTATTATGTAATTGTTTTAGTCAACAAATTATATTATTAGAATTTTTAATCAAAATTTTTTCTTTTCTTTTCCTAAGTATAACTTTTGGAATATATTCTTCATTTTATATGATTTTTTTAATGCAAAACTTGATTAATGGCAGTACAATTGCGGAGAGGGAGGCTGCTTACTTAGTTCCACGACTTCGGGATCTAGCCTTTTCTGTGGATATTAGGTACTGTTAGTTTTCTTTTCTTCTTGATGTGTTTGATTTAGGTGCATATTGTTGAACGTAAATTAAAAAAAAAAAAAGTCTGTGTGTATCACTTGCAAAACTGGGTGAAGTTGATGGTCTATATTCTTTTTGTTGTAAGGACTTTCAGTATTTGGCCACATCCCAAAAATAACCATCATATGGATTCAATCAATCCCTCTGATCCAGTGTTCTAATTCTTTAAAGTATGTGGTTATTTTGGAATTATCAATGACTCTTTTTACCTTAATTTTTTAGATAGAGAGGTGACGATCTAAAGAAAGTGAATAAAAATGTGCAATAGACAAATGGGGTGTCTCTTTTCCAATTTTATTTGGAAGTTTCAACTAAGAAGTTAGCTACTCAACTCCCCATATTGTTTTCATACTACCTGTTATTATATCCTTCAATTTCCCGACCATGTTTAGAACTTAAATTGTAGTCCCCAATTTTGAGACTAGTGAATATATTAGAACGGTTGCAGTAGTTTGGGTTCTGGAAAGAGAGATTTTATTATCATCTTTCTTTTCTTATAAATCCTTTCACAGAGCAATGAGCACCATTAATAGAAGACTAATAAAAAATTCATCATCCTCTCAAAGAATGATTGTCTGTTGCTGTTTATTTAAGAAAGAACAGGCTCCTAATTTTGTAAAAAAAAAAATTGTGTAATTATCCTTAATGTCACCTAAATCATACCACAATGTGAATATAAAGAAAAATTTAGATCTATGACAAGTTCTCTAGCCTTCATATATATTGACATAATAAAAAGCCACACTATCACAAAATATGTTAACTATGTACTGAATGTTAAATTTGAAGAAGATAAATACTTAAATTCATGAAAATTAGGGCATGGGAAGACTAACAGTGTGAAAGATATTAGTATTCCTGCTGTCTCTTAGCTTGTAGAGAATCAGGGAATGTTAATTTGAGTTCCTTTTCAGGCATCAGAATTGTCTGCCATTACTAGGAATATTATTTTCTTTTCAAAACAATGTTGCATAATAGTGATTAAAGATGTAGCAGGTTTGATAACCCTGCAAATAATATTAAATTCAATGACATGGCTTATCAGGATTGAAAATTTAGAAGAAGGTCCCGGAACATTCTCGGAAGGACTATGGAGAAGAGCAGTTTCTGCTGGTGCCTATACACCTATTGAGAAAAGGACCTTTGGCATTGCTGATGACATGTAACTAGTTAAATTTTGATTTTGTATCATTAGCTGGGTCTGTTTGGTTTCTATTTTATTAACAAATCTTTTTGTCCCCACCAGATATGAAGCAGGACTTCTTTTGGCATACTTAGCTTTTGTTACATTTTGTGAAGCAAACATTATGGATAGTCTTTCTTTGCAAGTAAGCTTCACACTACACCTATCTTTTATTTTAGTTTTTTCATTTTCCCTCATTCTTATATACTACAAAATTTCTAAACTGTTATTTTCTTTTATATGATATAAGAAAATCCAAGCAAAAGAAAATGCCGAAAGAAAAGATGATATAAAAATTTTATCCATGAACTTGCAGAGGCTCTTGGAAAGCACCTTTAAACTTGATCTTCAAGCTACAAGAGAGTAAGATGCTCCTTATATTTACAAATCATTATGCTTATCATGAGTACATATTGTTCCAGTAGTCAGTTTATAAATGATGAATACAAGTTTGTCGTAGCACTAACACTTTGCAAATGGGATCAAGACTTCATTTGTTGAGATAACTTCTTTCAATTTCTTTTTTATTTTCTAGGAAGATAACTTTTTCATCTATGGCATTATGCTTTGTTCTGTATATTTAAGAAGTTTAAGGCTCTATGTATGATGTTGTTGAGTTGAGTCCATCAAATTATTTTTTATTCTATTGACTATTGCAACAACACTCAAATTTTAGCTGAAAACTTTATGTTTTCTGTATAGACTATAAAATCTATGTGCTCCATTTTTGGTCCTTCCCAGCTCAAACATGCTATTCGTTTGCCCTTGGCTCTGCTGCCAGTCCCTGCAAAAATTCACCAAATGATTTATTATTTTACTTAAACTAGTTGAACTCTCAAATGCAGTGTATACAACTTTAACGTGGTTAGTGAACAATTAATTTTATATGATATGTACATATACATATAAATTAAGTTCGATGACTACAATATATTAATAAATCATATTAAAAAGGTTGAAGTAACGATCATGAATCTTCTATATGTGGAAAATTAATTTATTTATCTTCATATGTATGTGTTTCTAATATTAGTAATATAGTTAGAGAGGATGATCCATTTTTGCTCAGTAATTAGAGCTTGGAAAAATTTTGAAACCAGATTTTATAGGTTCAATACCCAAACATAACCTCCATGGGCAGACGTCTTCATTCCGCTTTGGTATAAGTGTCAATGTTGGGTTACTTTACATGTGGACCTGATTAACTTCAAACTTCTTCTTATCCATTTACTAATCTTTAACATAATACCATAAATCATAGGTTACCTCTGTAATATATATGTTTTTTTTCCACAACTGTACTTGTATTTAAACACCTTTGAGACATTATTCTGAATTTTAGTACTTCTTCTTGCATATTAGGCTACCATGGCGATCCTACTGATCCCAATTGTTGCACAGTTACTTGAGCTTGCTCTAAGGCTCCTTGTTTAATCTTATGAGTTCTGGTTGTATGCTGATACTTTGTTGGGCTCTTATTTTTCTTCTAAATTGAGCAGGTATTGTTTAGCAGATGACCGCTTGTTAGAAGCTGTCAAGTTTTTGGATCTCGGTGATGGTGCTGGTTGGGAGTTACTTCAGGTTGAATTTTTGTTTGGAGCTTATGGGATGAGTGCAATTTTCTTCCCTATAATTTCATCTTAATCTATCAGTCTATTTATCTCTATCTATAAATAAATATTGGAAGAAAATCACAGAAAAAATGTATATCTACTATCTTGATCCCAAACTTGGCCTAACATCCTGCTATTTCTTTATCCTGTTTGAACTTTTAATGACTAGAATGCTTAAATAAACTTGGTTGTCTTAACCTGAGTCGTTCTACTGGCTATGAGAGAATATCGAAACTGCACTTCCTTTTTGATTATCCAGAGTGACCATATCAGATTACTTTATTTTCATACGGGATTTATGTTTGATGGAAACCTTTCGTATGGGATCTGTCGAAATCTTCCTCTATATTTTAGTTCTTGAGTGGCAAGATGAATTATTACCCTATTGGTGATTATTCTGGTAGTATTTCTGAAATCTGGTTATCCTTGTAGCTAATAAGTACTCTCCATCTCCATTTTCTGATATTCAAAAACCTAAAAGCTTGTGTTCCAACTTTGGTGTCTCCAATGTGTCAAGTTTCTTAATTATCCATTAATTCATGTTTTAGTGGACTCAATTTGTAGCCATCTCGTTGCTACTAACTTGATCACAGGTCTTCTGGTATTGTTAAAATCTAATTTTTCTTTATCTTTGTGTGACTTGTATTATTATTATTTCTACTGCAGGCAATGCTGAATCCTGACTTCCGAAAACGACCGATTGCAGAAGCAGTAATCAATCATCGATTTATAACTAATTCTGTTATTTGAGATTCCAAGGACTGAGGACATATTATAGTCTGTGAATAGAAAATTTTGGAGTTGGAGTTAGCAAGTAGCATGTTATGTGAAATAGCTGACAGTACGAAAAGACCTTAGAATCATATTGATGGCATAATCTACCTTCTTTCTATTGCTTAATTGTCCCACTTAATAAATTACAAAGGAAAACTAATGAATGAAGTTATCGATCTTCACATTAAATTATTTCATATGGTGAAACTAAACTTGTGGAGTTTGGATGAATCGACTCGCAGATATTGAATCTCAGACCTTGACCTCTTGACTCTCTTGGTTATCTTTTACTTTGTTGCAATAGTGGGCTATTGTTTATATTACGGTTGCTTTGTAAAGAGTATTAAATCTATGTAAGTAGGGGTGTTGCAGGATTAAAAAAAGGGGAGGGGATGGGGGGATTGGCGGACCTGAGAGATTTGGTTTGGGTTTTAAGATATTAAAATACAAAATCGACCTTAATAAAATTCCTAAATGATATGTAATATTTAGGAATTTTATTATGTAATTGTTTTAGTCAACAAATTATATTATTAGAATTTTTAATCAAAATTTGATGAATTTATTTTTTTTTTTTAATAAACATAACTTTTTATTTTAAGGATTTACTATACATTATAAAAATTGTTAAAAAGAAAAGAAGGTAATGTGATTTAAACGGATGTGGTTTGAGTTTCTAATAAATAAGGGTTGGGTTGGGCGGTGGACTTGGATTTGGCAAAACCGGAACATGAACACCGGTATTTGTAAGGGGAAGACTATTTTGATAAAAGAAATTGAGGAAACGATTTTTCTCCACCCAAATAATAGCTTAATAACACTTTTTACCTATAGATTTTTGTAACACTTGTTTACTATCCAAATTTATATTTCGTTTTTGATTCCGACATCATTGTGATCTTACACGATCATCATTCTCTTTTCCGATCATCACTCACCAAAATCATTCAAATCCTACTCTCATCGACCTCACCAATCGTTGACTATCAAGCGATTAGGGTTTGCTTAACCGCCCCTTCCAAGTCAAATTTTGATCAATTCTTGTCACCAAAATACAACCTTCCACCACCAAAAGACTCATCAGTCTCCTCTCTTCAAAAACTCTCACAGCTTGTACCGAGTTTGCTCTCTGTTCGTCATCGAAATATAACTTTATGTAGTAAAGTGGTATTTTAAAAGTCCGTAGGTGGGAAAGTGTTATTAAATCATTATTTGGGTAGGGAAAAGTCGGTAACTCAAAGAAATCAAACATACACTTCATTCAAAGACCGAAGCTCAAATATAAAAAAATAAACCAAGAAATCTGGAATTAAATATACATAATTTTCATTTAAAGCTAAATTTATTGTCGATGTGAGTAACATAAAAGAATCCCAGATAACTTAAATTCTAAGACTACACATACTCATTTTCATGCATTTCAGCTGTCTCAAAAGCCTCAACTCTACTCTGAAATTTTTCAATTACAAAAGCCAAAGCCAAGAAAACTGGAATTATAACACAAATCCAAACCATTGAAATCCAAGCCAAAACCGCTGCCACAAGAGAGAACTCTCTCTGCTCTTTATAACTCATCATCTTACTTGAGAACATTGTGATAATGCTTAAGTCTAGAGCACCAAAAGCACAACATGTGGTGAATAAGGCTATGTAGAAAGCCCACCTGCAAAAACTTTCCCAAGAAAAGTTAGAGAATTCTTTGGGAAAAATTGAATGAGCCATTGATGCAATTTTCAAAGAGAAGAGAAAATATTATTATTGGAGGACATTTTAGTTTTATAAAGGATAGCTTCGGATTAGGTAACCGTGCAAGATTGTGCTTGTCTAATAGTAGTTAGACTGTGTTATTTGAGCCTTACTTTATTTTTAGCTAAACATCTAAGCCTTTTCCATTATTATTATTATTTTTTAGCCCTATTTCAGGGTCTGAATTAAAATCTAACCGAGCTCATGCAAGCAATAACCCTCTTACAATTTTTATGGACACAACTGCCCTTTCATAAAGCAAAGTCACAACCCTATAAACCCCATTTCATTTGCAATGAAACGAAACCTTTAACTTCATCCTATTCAAGCAAATCTAAAATAAAAGACATAAGCGCAAGTGATTATGGGGTTTTCTTCATCATCATTCACCAAAAATCGAAGCTTTTTCTGTTGGAGGATGTGGCTTGTGATTTAGTAGGAGATTTGATTTTGAATGGGTTGATGGTTGATTAACGATAACGGTTGCAATGGATGGTTGATTGGTTGATCCGGCACCATTTCATCGGTGTCTAGTGGGCATATCATGAAGATATCGGAATTTTTTTTATTGTTTGTGATGAAGTGAATAAATCTGGTGAAAGTAAAAAAAATTTTGAATCCTTAAATTTCATCTTGTTTTTTTTTCTAAATATGACATCAAATGGAAAAGAGAAGAACATAAAATATTCATTTTCGCTAAACTACTTGAAAAACACTAATAGTTCTATGGCCGAACGACTTACGCATACCCAAGGTTTGTCGAAACGACAAGTTGGTACTTAAAAGGTTTTGAAACGACAAACAGGTACCTTTCGTCATGTGCTGTTAGTGATTTCTGTTTGTTCATAGTGAAAAGACTAAAATGTTTTTGAAAATTTGATATTTTAGTTTTTTATAAATTTATAAATTTATAAAAAACCCCCTAGGTTTGCTAATTTAACTAAACACCCCCATATATAAAAAGTTTGTTAAATGACAAAAACACCCCCATCACCTGCAGTGCCAGATTCTGGCAAACACCGTCGGAAACTAGCCGGGAAATTGCATTACGACACAGACCCGTCAGATCTGTGTCGTAACGTGTCGATTTGGCATTTTCCGGCCAGATCTGGTCGTCAAGGTAGCAGATGGAGTTTTGCGGCCTCAACGGCCAAATCTGGCATTTTTCGGCTAGATCCATGGTTGATCTAGCCGGAAAAGGCCAGATCTACGGCTAGATCAGGCCGTCATGGCCGCAAAACTTCATCTGCGGCGTCGACGGCTAGATCTGGCAGTAGATCTGGCCTTTTCCAGCCAGATCAGCTACGGATCTGGCCGAAAAAGGCCAGATCGACGCGTTACGACACAGATCCGACGGGGTCTATGTCGTAACGCAATTTTCGGCCAGATTCCGGTGGTGGTGGCCGAAATCTGGTACTGCAGGTGGTGGAGGTATTTTTGTCATTTAACAAACTTTTTATATATGGGGGTGTTTAGTTAAATTAGCAAATCTAGGGGGTTTTTTAGAAATTTATAAAAAACTAAAATATCAAACTTTCAAGGGCATTTTAGTCTTTTCACTGTTAACAAACAGAAATCACTAACAGCACATGACGGAAGGTACATATTTGTCGTTTCAAAATCTTTTGAGTACCAACTTGTCGTTACGGCAAACCTTGGGTATGCGCAAGTCGTTTGGCCTAGTTCTATTGGCCTCCCATAATGCATAGTGTCCGTTACCTCCCTATCGAGCACGTATCAATCACCTATCAGTCACAAATTGATAAATGCCTGATGATAACTCTTTTTCAATTTGAGCTATTTTTTGGGTTAAGCCGTAAAATAGGACTATTTAATATAATTTCACTTATATTTTTAAATAAGATGAGAATTTTTAATATTAGTTTTGAACTTAAATTTTTAACTGTTTACTACCTGAATTCAATAGTGCAAAAGATTGATGAGTTGTCAATGTTACAATGAATGTCATTTTATTTTTAAATTTTAGTTTGAACAATTAAATTAAGATGAATAAATGAATGAGAATTTAAATTCAAAGATTTAAATAAAAAATTCTCATATTTAAGGATACCATATTTTCATAGCAATTAGTGATGTATTCGTAATACAATTTGTAAAGAAGTAAAGAGCCACTTATTTATCCTAATGCATTTTGAAGGAGATTAAAACAAATTCAACCGCCAGGTTTGAGTTAAGTAATAAATAATTAAATACACTTAAAAGATTTCTGGAAATGACAAATTTATCTCCCTTTTTTTATACCTAAAAGTCTAAAATACCCTAAATTGTCACTTTTAAGTTTCTTATTTGAATTTATTATATATATATATATATTTACAAATTTTTCTAAATAAAATCTAGTATCACTTTGGAGGTTAGCATGATAATGAAGATTAAAATGATAACTGTATTTTAGTTTTCTAAGAAAATATTGGGTGAATTTTTATCACTTCTGAAATCCTTTGAATGTATCTATAACTTAACTCAAACCTTGCTAATGGATTTGTTTAATCTCAATTCATTACTTTACTTATCTTGACGCAGACCTTTCATGTCACTTGCCTAGGTCTCATTTGTAGGTCAATTTATTTTATGGTATAACATGTACATATTTTATTATTTTTTGGAAAATCTTGTCATTTTGTTGTTATCTTATTATAAATTTTCAGTCGAATTCATCTAAGCATCTAGTAGTTTTCAACTCGTTAAGACCAAGGCAACAAAATCTTTAATCTAAAACACTTTGTTGAGAGCAAGTTGCAATTGACTATTCAAGATGTCAAACTCAAGAGCATCCTTGTAAAAACTATTAAGGAAAAAAAAAAAAAAAAAGCATGAACAAATTACTATTCAAATTTGACATTAAGGTCCTAACTCTAGCTAACCGGATGAAACCACATTAATTAATTTTTTTTTTCTTTTTAATAATTTGTGCATATATCCAAGTTCATTCAAGTATTAACCCTAATTACAATAATACTGGCTACTTTTTTCCCATATACTTAGGGTTGTAAATGAGTCAAACCGAGTCGAGTTTTCGACTTGTCAAGCTCGGCTCGTTTGCTACAAGATCGAGTTTCAGCTTGTCGAGTCAGAGAAAAGAGACTCAAACTCAAGCTGACTCAACTTTATCTTCATCATCTACTTCTTTATCTCCATCATCTTTATCTTCGTCTTCATCTTCATCTTTGTCCTCAACACAATCATTATTTTGATTTTGATTTTGATTTCTAATTATGAATATTTGCTAGAACAAATTTAGGGGTTAGGGTTTGTCAATTTGGGGAATGTAATTTGGGGGGTTTAATTTTGTGTTTTAGAACTAATTACATTGGGGGTTGAATGTCGTTTTTACAAATTTAAAATTAAAAGTAACCTTCAATTCCAATAGTTTATAAAACTGTCAAAAAAAGCCCTACTTATGTGAGCCACCTCAAGCTCGCGAACCTATCGATTCGAGCCTACCCATGTTCGAACTCAGTTCGTTTTATATAGCGAACTCGAGCTAAGTTGACTTGACTAACTACAAGCCGAGTCATAAACGAGCTTTAGACGAGACAAGCCACGAGTTGCCAACTTGTTTGATAGCTCTACATATATTTTCTAAAATACCTCTCTCCCTGTACACACCACCAAAAAATAAATAAATCAAAATTTTAATGGTTTTTAGATAGATATATGTTGGCTTACCTAGTTCATTGGACTTCTAAGGTATTTAATGAATCCCGGAGATTAATTGAAGTGCATGCAAAAGAGCTCGGACACCTTGGTTACCCAAAAAAAATAATTTATTAAATTTTAAGAAATTAATAAGATTATATTAAGATATTTTAAAGTCTAATTTACTAGAAGAAAAAATCTAGAATACTACAGTTAAAAAGTTAACAAAAAGGAATCTAGATACTTTTAGATAGCTTCGGTTCTCCATATTTACTTGAATATCACTTGGACTTTAGGGTTTGTGGTTTCAGTATTGGAAGACAAAGTGGAAGCAGGATGCTCGGAAAGGCAGCGAAAATTGTTAAGGGCAGGCGGCTGCATGGTTTTATTTTGAATCTTGTGTTTACAATAATAACTTTGGTGATCTATATTGGTGATTTTTTTATGTCCACAAAGAAACCAGTAATTGTTGGATTGTTTGTGACGATTGTTCTTTGCCTGGTGAATATGTTGTGGTTATGGCATACACAATTTTGTACTACCGGTGCAAGAAAAACCATGGAGAAGAGGTTGAGTTACCATGGAGCGAAGGGTATAGTAAAGTACCTACACTTCCATTTCTTAATGAAAATGAACCGCATGATCAAGGAGAGCTCTGTGATGTGCGATTGATTAATTTGATCCTGATGATGTTGTGTTGTGATTTGTGAAACTGTCAATTTTGCAGTTCTAAAAACGAATCTTTGAATTTCATTTTAAGATAGAAATTGCAATATGTACACATAATGATTGATAGTTAAAACTTCTTGTCACCACTGGAAAATTGAACTATCCTGACACAGATTTTGTGTGGTAAGAGGGAATTTCGGTGTCTCTGTTAATATCACTTTACAAATTCTCCTGTATCGATCAAACGTAGGTACTTGTCTCTATGATCACATACGTTATCAGACCAGTAACATAAAAAACCCCAAAGACTTAATTTTGCACTACACATACTGGTTTTCTTGCATTTCAGCAGTCTCAAAAGCCTCAACTCCACTACCAAATCTTTTAATTACCAAAGCCAAAGCCAGGAAAATTGGAATTATAACACAAATCGAAACCATTGAAACCCTAGGCAAAACAACTGCCACAATAGAGAACTTTTCTGCTCTTTATAGCTCATCATCTTATTTGAAAGGTGGCCATAGCCACCCCAAATTTTAAATTAATAAATTATAGTATAATTTTATTTACAACTAGAGGTTAGCATAGGTAGTGGATAGAACCAGAACCGATAGATAGAATAGGAACCAAACCGGTGGCTACTCGGAATCGGCCTTCACAGGGTCGATTTTGATTCCCAATAATTGGAACCGACATTGTATGGGTCTGTTTCCGGTTCCTGCATGTGCAAAAACAAAACTGGACCCAAAACCTAGAATAGGAACCGAGGTCAGGTACCCAAGGTGGAGCTTGTCTTAAAACCGAGACTGGAAATAATGTCATTAAAGAATGGAGGGTCTATTAATGTAATTTTGCGTATCAAAATAGAATGAAGATACACGTGGCAAAGTGGGTGGAGGCCTCCACTTGCTCAATACATTATACTCAATCACTATCTTTAGGTCATTTTCGTGACTTCACGGGTTGCAATCTGCCTGATTGACCACTTCTTTCATTTCTTAATTTTATTTTTTTCATAATTTACATGGAATTTATTTCTAAAGATTTTAATCTTTACAATTGTTTTTAATTTGATATTGTATTTCGAATGTTTTTGGAAATATATTTTATATATAAATTTTACATCAAAGTATAGTTGGTAAATCTAATCCAAAGTTTGTATATGTCATTACATCCTTCTTAATAAAGTTATTTTATCATATAGTTTTAGATGCTATTTATAAAATTGATCTTATTGTAAAAGCTATTAAATATTATATATTTTTAAAAAATTATAATGTTAAAGTTTTGAGGGCACGTGATTAAGAGAATCAAAATATATTAATATATTAGATTCACTAATTATTTGGTTAATTAAGTGTTTAATTAGAATTAGGATCCAATTAAAAGTGTTTTAATATTATTAAAAGAATTATATTTGAATAAAATAGTAAATTTTTGATCAAATAATATTTGCTTCAATTATGAAGTTCTAAGCATATCTATAATAATTATATACGATAAATAGATAAACATTATTTAATTAAATGATTAGATATTTAATTAATTATAATATTATAATATAACAACTCATGGTGTATTAAGAAGGGTACGTGTTTTATATCAAACTTAAATTAATTGATATATAACAAACTTAGAGTCATAATAATAATTTAATTAAAGATTTATAAATTAAATTAATATTAATATTTAATTGGATCCTTTTGTCACAATTAATGTTAATTTAACTTATGGGCAAGTTCAAAAACTTCATTTTCACTCTAGTGGGTATAATATTATATAAATTATTTGTATTTATTCATAAATATGAATCGAAGTTCAACGACTATCAAAGATAAGTTATTAGTCATTAATTTATTAAAATACAAAAATTAGAACCAACTACTAATCGTGTAACTGTTTTTGAAATAATTTAATTATTAGTAATTATATTTTATTTCTCTATTAAGAAATTAATAAAATATAATAGCATCTAGAATCCTAGTTGGGGTGGAGCATCCTTTTACTAAAATTCAATTCCCAAAATTAATTTTACAACTATACTTTGATGTAAAATTTATATATATAAAATATATTTATCTCTCTCCCTATGGCCAGATGAAAACCTTTTAACTGCTAGGTGTAGTTATTGTTTAATTTTTTTTTTTTTTTTTTTTTAAAAGAAAACAACGAGTCACCTATCCATGAGTGATTCCTCCCAATTTTATTAAGGCCTCACTGTGGCGGAGCAAAAACTGTGGTAACAAGTAGGATCCTGGATTTACAGAAATTCAATAAAAACCATCCATAATCAAAATTATAAAGAAAAAAAACAAAACAAAAAGCCTAACCAAAGAAACCCAAAAGTCCAGTTACCATCTAAACTGAGGCAAACCCGCCTTCCAACCGAAGAATGCCTTTCAACTTATGAGGCAAGAATTAAAATCCAAAATATATTATTACCCTCCTTGCCCGTCTCGTGAAATCCGTTGCTCTATTCCCTTCGCGTAATGATAATTAATGGTGAAATGTAAGTCTCTTAACAGTATCAAAAGATCATCCAATAGTCCCATAAGTACCACGCCGGCACTTTCACTACTAGTGTAGTTATACTTGGAGATCTTGTATTCAAGTCTTAAAGATTACCTATCATATTTGCGTAATTACCTTGATTCATTGTCCTTGTAAGGTATTCCGTGGTTCAAAGATTATACAGACTCTAATATGGGCCTGTGATATATATATATATTCCAAAAACATTTGAAATATAATATCAAATAACCCTGTTCATGCCACATGTTGGTTGGTTAAAAGGAAAGGACATTATCTCATGTTTGGTTAAAACTAATTTGTAGGTGTTATGTGAACTGCCCAGGGTGTGTTGTAATTTTTAGGTATATTTGTCATTTTAAAGATACCCTATATATTATTGAACGAATTCTTGACCATGATTATCGGGTCAGAGCGTCGCCAGGGAAGAGCATATTCCAATGACTGTAGATTTTCTTTCTTCATTCCTTCATTCCTTATAAAAAGGCCACGCATCAAGTCTTACAACAGAGCATATCTAAAAGTTTTAGCTCAAAACTAAAAGACAAAACGTGATAAATATTTTCATAGCAATTAGGCAGGGCAGGGGTTAGTGGTGTCTTGCATCAGGGAAAAAAAAGTGCAATTTGTAAAGAACCCTTCTAAAAGGTTAAATCACACATGAATTTTCAAATATCAATTCATTTTCTTTATGTAAAGACATAGACCCCAGATATTATAATACAAAAATTTCATAAATTTTTGAAATACAAAAATCATACTGCATAATAAACTGTAGTGAACCGTTAAAAATTTACATGATTATAAATTATAAATATTACCAGAAGTCTTTCACTATTTTTTAACACCAAACTGAACAGGAAGAAAATTATGTTATTTCTAGTACTTCAGGGGATTTCTGTTAATTTATCATATCTCAAAGATTAATGTAAAATAACTCTTTTTCTTTCATTCAAATCCACTTGCCTTTGTCATGTCCTCCTAAGATTACATATATTACATTAAATTCAAAGCGACCCATTATTAGAACTGCATATTATTCACTTTCACAGCACAACATCATAAATATCAGATCACATCACAGAAATCTCCTTCATCATGGTCCATTATTTTCGATATTAACAAGTGGAAATGATGAACCCACTTTGCTATACCCTTTTCTCCATGGCAACCCAACCTCTTCTCAATATACTTGCCTTTGTCATGTCCTCCTAAGATTACATATATTACATTAAATTCAAAGCGACCCATTATTAGAACTGCATATTATTCACTTTCACAGCACAACATCGTAAATATCAGATCACATCACAGAAATCTCCTTCATCATGGTCCATTATTTTCGATATTAACAAGTGGAAGTGATGAACCCACTTTGCTATACCCTTTTCTCCACGGCAACTCAACCTCTTCTCCATGGTTCTTCTTGCACTGGTAGTACAAAATCGTGTACGCCATCAACCTTAACATGTCCACCAGAGACACAACAATCGTCACAAACAACCCAATAATCACTGGGTTTACAGTACCTGCTTTTATTTGGTTCACCAACATAGCACCAACGTAAATTACCAAACTTAAAATTCTAAACACAAGATTCAAAAGAAAACCATGCAGCCGCCTTCCCTTAACGATCTTCGCCGCCTTTCCGATCGCCTCACTTCCACTTTTCTCTTCCAAAACTGAAACAATAAACCCTAAACTCCAAGTTACTTCCAAGTAAATATACACAACTGAAGCTAGAATTACAATCATAAGGACTAAAACTGTTAAGGCTATTGGATCTCGAACAAGAAGAAGAAAGGGAACAAGATTTGCCAACACCAGAAAAATGTAACCGAAACTCAAAAGGGTTTCATAAAAGTAAGTAAAGGAAGGCCTTTTGAGTGATGATAATGTTGACCACAACATTTCTCTAAAGGATAAAAAATTTCTTCCATGAATAAAGGCTGGTGCAATGACTGTGGCAGTTGATAAAAACAAAGAGGGGACAATACTGATGAGAATAAATATCCATTCGAGGACGACGTAGGCGCGAATATCTTCTTTAAGAGCCGTGAGAAGGGAGAAATATTCAGAAGTTTTGGGCTTTGTGTAAGGTAAGAGACCTAGCTTCAAAAATAAGTCGGACTCGAATGGTTTGATGGAGTGGCAATTGTACAAGAAAAAGACTGAGTTGAATGAGAGGATTAGCAAAGTGAGGCAAGCCATGAGTATTTTATTTTTGAAGAAGATCTTGAGGGCCTCTCTGATAATTCCTTCAAAACCTAAGACCATGAAAGCTTCCATGATATTTGCAAAGAAATTGGGATTGATTTGCTTGATATTTTCTTTTTGTGATTGTGTAATTTAGGACATATTTATATGCAAAGTTGGGACTATAATATGCTTAGAATTAGTCTATTTCAACATCAATTTCTAGGACGGAAATTTCAGAGGAAAAATGTTGCCATCACAAGTTTTTATTAATATTAATTTGTAGAAGCTAATGTTTACTCCTTCATTAATTTCTCCACCAGTGGAACTTCTTTTATTAATTTAATTATATAACCATAGGATTCTTCTCCCCCAGGAGTCTCTGTGTGGGACTTCGTTGTCCGTAGTTACAGTAATTTAGAAGGATTCAACTAAATTAATCCTTAAAATATCCTAAATACAAATTGTTTTGCATACAGTAATTAGTAAATAATTACATCTTCTTATCATCATAAACCAAAGTCCAAAATACATCTGTCTAAAAACTAGGGTTGAGTATGGGTAGTGGGTTGAATTGGAACTAGTGGGTAGAACCAAAATCGAAATTGACAACTACCCAAAATCGGCCCTTACAACATTGATTCCAGCTCCAAATAATTGGAATCAATACTGTGCGGGTCTGGTTTCAATTCTTGTATGTGCAAGCGAGGGTAGACCCAACCAATTTGAACGTAGGCCTAGGCTTACCCTCACATTTTATATAAAAAAAAAAAAAAAAAAATTGTTTATATAGGCTACAAAAAATTGTTATGAATATATATATCCAGGTTTACCCTTAGATTTTTAAAAAATGAGAACTATTATACATATATCCAAACCCACAAAAAACTTACTATTAATATATATATTCCAGGGTTATATCATATTAAAAGTTTAAAACTCTCTCCAGGCTCCACAAGCTTTTTATGATTTTATCTTTAAAATTCTTTACTCTCTTATTCTCTTTCTCATTCTATTCACTTTTAATACTTTTGAAGACTGGAATTATCGAAGCTTTTATTATTGAATGTGTCACATTAGCTCTATTTTTTATTTTATCAGTTTTAGGTATGTGTATCACTCATTTCAATTTAGTTTATCTTAAGGTTAAAGATACATGTGATGAAGTGGGTGGAGGCCCCACTTCCTTAGTAAATTATATTGAGCCACTATCTTCAAGTCATTTTAGTGATGTCATAGGTATATATATATATATACATGATGTCATAGGTTGGAATATGTCATATTGACAATTTTCTTTCAATTTTTTTTTTCATAATTTACATGAAAAGAAAAGATATTATATATATATATAAGAAGTTGTCAATCTAACAGATTCCAACTTATGACATCACGAAAGTGACCTAAAGAGTGTGTGTGTATATATATATATATATATATATGAAAGAAGTTGTCAATTTCACAGATTCCAACTTATGACATCACGAAAGTAACCTAAAGAGTGTGTGTGTATATATATTCCCCCCCAAAAAAAAAACCCCCTATGACATCACGAAAAGACTATATATATATATATATTATAAATATAATATATATATATATATAAAAACGAAGTTGTCAATATGACAAATTCCAACTTATGACATCACGAAGTGACCTAAAATTTTTTTTTTTGTGTGTCTATATTAATATATGAATGAAAGAAGTTGTCAATTGACAAATTCTAACCTATGACATCACGAAAATGACCTAAAGATGTGTGTATAATATATATACACACACACACGAAGCATAGTTAGAAAATATAATCCAAAGTTTGTATAGTCTTACATCGTGTGTGATAAAGTTATTTATCATATACCATATAGTTGATACTGTATGTCAAATGTTTTTGGAAATATATTTTTTATATATTAATTATATTAAAGTATAATTGGTAAATATAATCCAAAGTTTGTATACGTTATTCAATTATTATTGATAAAGTTATTTTATCGAAAAATTTTAGATATTATTTAAAATTGATCTACTGTAAAAGCATTAAATATTTATATATATTAAAAAAAAAAGATTTATAATGTTAAAGTTTGAGGGCATGTGATGACTAAGGAATCGAAATGTATTAGTCATGAATTATTGATTAATAAGTGTATAATTGGAATTTGGATCCAATTAAAAGTGTATTAATGTTATTAAAAGAATTATTTTTATAAAATAATATTTTTGATTGAATATATTTACTTCAATATCATTCTAAGCATATCTATAGTAATTATAAATGATGAATTGATAAACATTAATGAATAAATTATTAAATATTAATTAATTAATATTAAAGTATCACAACTTAGGGTATATTAAGAAATGTAAGTGGTTTGTAATCAACCTTAAATTAATGACAAAAAACAAACTTAGTATTAATTATTTAATTAAAGATTTATAAATCATATTAATATTAGTATTTAATTTGATTCTTCTGTTACAATTAATGTTATTGTAACTACGGGCAAGCTCAAAAACTTCATTTTCCCAAAATTAATTCACCAGCTATACTTGATGTGTGTGTGTACGATAGGTATAATATTTCCAGAAACATTTGAAATACAATATCAAATATACCTTGTTCATGCCAGGTGTTGGTTGGTTAAAAGCAAAAAGACATTATCTCATGTTTGGTTAAAACTAATAGTAGTGTATCATGTGAACTGCCAGTAGTGTATTTGTAAAAATTTTAGGGTATATTTTTCATTTTTTTTTTTAAATTAATAAGAGGTCAATTAAATTTTACAGGATACTTGGAAAAGGAACTAGAATCTGCATTTCAAGTTCTGGTTCTAAGAACTGAAGAATCAAAACCGGTCGGTTCCGATCCTGGTTTAGCTCCTAGCAATTCTGGTGGATACCCAGAACCACTCACCCATACTAAAAACCATTAAATTTTGGTTTATTAATTTTTTTCATGGTATACATGGAGAGAGGTCTTTTAGAAAGTTTGAATATCTGTATGGAAGAAAAGTAGCCAGTATTATTGTAATAAGGGCAATACTGTGATGAACTTGAATGAAGTTGGATATATGTACAAATTATTATAACTTCTATACTCTTAATGTGAGTTTATGGGTAGGAGTGACATATCTTATTACGCCATATGATATAGTACTTTGGCCTATCTAATTTGTTGAAATTTGCCCTTTGATCCTCCAAACATAATATTTGCTTATAAATTGAGGGATAAGGTAACAATTCCTTGAAATTGAAGTCAAACCCATCTTGACTAAAATCTTTTTATTAATTTATTTATTTTAATATTTTCGTGGGTGTATGTGCCAAAAATCGTATTAGGTCTGACGAGGCCCAATAACAAAATAAATATATCACGGCTCAGTGCTTTAGCCTAATTTTAGTTGGGCTTATGCTTAAATCCATCTTGTGGATTGACCATCTTATGGGATGGCCCATTTTGTATGAAGGAACATTCTATGGGCAGGCCTGTTCTACGAGATGGATCACACATGGGTCAACCTTCTCCATGAGCTGGGTTACTTTATGAATTGAGCCACCTTACAAGCTGAGCTAACTTGTGCTTTGGGCCACTCTATGAGTTGAGCCTTTCTACAAGTCAAGCTAAATTGAGTTTCAGCCCATTAGTCCAGTTTCTTTTCAAAATAAGAATCAAAATTCTATCACCTGCCTAATTCATTCAAAAGCCAATATCTTACATGAATTAATACTCTTGAACCAACAAAGGCAAGGAATAAGAGTTCATTCCTAATTCGGACTCCTGTACCAAGTAAGACTTAGAGTCCTACTAGAACTCTAACCCTTGTGGTTCACTATTTAAACAGAGTTCAAGCCTCTCATTATTCATTCATAAATAACCCATAGCTCTAGCTATTAAATTCTTGATCTTAAGAATCACCGTCTTTCCGTACCGTAAAGCTTAGTTTTGACTAATTTTACCACCTTCAACAACCACAAAGTTGTGCTCTAGCCAATTTGTTATAGTCTTGCGCTAGCCACACCTATGGTAAACCCTTTCCCGCTCTGAGCCTCACTAAAATACCTTCAACTGTGCTAACTTTGCGTCAAAGTGCCTACGACAGACACCACACCAGTCCCCCGAGCCTGCACTTTCTCTATATAGGTCCATCCGATTGTAAGTGGCTCTCTTTTCACAAGATCTATCCTTTTTGAATCAACTGTAGATTTTACCATTGTAAGTAATTGATCTACCGTACGTAGCCAAAAAATTAATAATAAACCGAAAAAATCAATTACTTTTGCACCAAGATCCAAGTATTGAATACAATATTTTTCATGCTAAAAATAATCCTATATAAAACAATATTAATCCGTTCAAGGATTAGAAAACTTACGTACGTTTAGAGGCTCTTTCAAATGTCTCTGATTTGATTTCGCTTCCAATTTAATATAGAATCACACGAACGTTGATTCACACAAAGACAATTTGGAGAACCAACAATTATTTTGCTAGAACAATTTGTAGGTTTCAAGAATCAAGTAAAAATCAAAGAATGATTCTCTGATTCAATCTACCAAAACTGTAAAAGGAGAGCGAGGGTGGCTGGTGTTTTTTTTTTTTTTTTTAATTCAATCAATGAATAAAAAATCTTCACATTTGTTTTAATTAAGTTTCACTTATATAGTGTCACTTAATTAAAACCCTAATCCCATTGGGAATAGCCATGTATTCACATATTAATCCATCCTTGTAACCAAACACCCTTTTATGGTATTTTAGTTTTTATAATTATTATTATAATTAAAATCAATTAATATATATATTAAAATATATATTAACATTTAATTAATAATAATTCATTTAAATATATGTGAACACATATTTAAATATAATCTCACTAATTTTAATTTTAATCAGCAAAATTAATTGCACTGTGAGATTACCAAAATATCATTTCATCCTAAAAGATGAAAATTCCCCTTTCACAAACTTATTCTTAAATTATCTTCTAAGTGTGTGACCTATAGGTTTTTTATCTTATCGGCAGTGAACAAAATCATGATTAACACCAATTAATCGTCTCACTACACACAGACCAAGATTGGTCCCT